GGAGGAGGAGGCGGAGGCGGGAGGGGCGTCTCGGGCAGCGCTGGGGCCGTTGCCGCCATGGCCAGGCGAACCGTTTCCCCCACGAGCGTCAAGGCGACGGTGCCCGAGGCCTTTGCTGTGCTGCGACAGAGGATGAGGGTGGCAGAGGAACAGGCCAGCGCTCTGGCGAGAGACCTGGAGGCACTTGGTGTTCCCGGGCAGAGGTGGGGAGAAAGCGGGGGCAAAGCCTTTCCTGCCTGGAGAGCCCAAGCTTTCTTCCCTTTCCCTCACCTTGTCCTGCCTGGGAGTCTGCTTGCCCGGCTTTGGTTATCCGGATGCAGTGGTGCTGGCAGAGCCAGCGGGAACAGGCAGCAGTGAGCGGGGGTGGCAGGAAACTTTCCAGAAGTTTTCCCATTTATTCACATCTTTAATGCATCTGTGTGCTGACATGTGTGCATACATGCAGTAGATCAATCTTCTCTCCTTTCCAGCCTTGATCTTTTCCACTCCAAGACCCTAGAGACACCTGCTAGCTACACAGCCATCAGGCCTGTGCAGGCCAGGGTGGCATTTGCGGGAGAAAATACACTGTGGAAAAACTGTGAATCGATGGTCAGTCGAATGTGTCGGTTAGAGAGTGTTGTGCAGACACTGAAATTAAACATCTTCCACTTGCAGATGGAAAAGGAGCGGAATCCCAAACATGCAGGTAGTGAAATATTCTTTATGTCTTCATAGTTAATTGTGCTTTCATAAGTTTCTTCAGCTGATTACTTTTTTTTGTTTGTTTCCTTTTCCATCTGGCAGCCCAGTTGGAGCAACGGCTGAATGCAGTGCAGGAGGAACATTTGCAGGAAATGAAGGTTGTACAGCAAGAGGCAGTGAAATTACGCCAGCAACTAAGTGATATGAAAGAGGCCAAGGAGAAGGCCAAAGGAGATCTTCAAAGACTAAGTGCTGCTCTGGAGATTAACACTGCAGCAAAGGTACAGAAGTTGGCACGTAGACTAGTTATAATTTTACTGTGTTTTTGGGATTAGCAGATTTATCTGTAGTACTTTAAGTACTATGATCTCTGAAATACAGACAGATGAAAGATATGCTGTGTTGGAAATAACCATTTATGATTCTGCTTGTTATTGTAAAAGAAGAGTTACTATGAGAATGAGATTCTCTGGTTCCACCAATAAAGAAATAATTAGACAATAATAAAAATAATTTATAATTCTCCATTTTTCAGAAGTTAATCCTAGTTTTTATATGTGGAGTTCTCAATCGCTTTTCTGTGTTGCTGGGAACTTAAATTTCTCTATTTCAGTCCTGTTATGTCAGTTCAGTACTTTTATGTCTGTTAACACTTCAGTGGAATATGCCACTTAACTATATTAAAGAACTGGCCGCTTCTTAGTGCTTGCACTCTTCTATTCAGTGCTTTAGAACAGAGAACCTCAGACTGGAGGTAAAAGTCAAATTCTGGGTGGGTTTTAGCATGGATGTTTTACTTGTTAAGACCTATTGCTTTTGACATAGTCATGAACATGATAGGACAGGATAGAAAATTTGTCCCATCTTCTTTAGATGAGTGTAGCAATTGCAGCTGAGGAGCTGAGGAACACTAACCAGAAAATGAACTGCAGACTGCAGGACTAAGTACAAGAGCAGAAAGCTTAGTAGAAGGCTGAATTTACCAAGTATTATTTAAAGCTTTGAAGAATATCCTCACTAATTAGCTCAGGTTCGGGATGCGCGCAACCAAAAGGAGGCTGCTGGTTGCACTTGTAACTAAATATCCCAGACAGAACATCACCCATGTATGATCTCAAAGTTAGATCTGAATTTGGAGTTTGTTAGTTTGTTCTTTTCTCCCCTAGCTAATGGAACAGCTGTCCCAGGAGATCAGCCTGCGGGAATCTTTGGAGGAATCCCAAGCAACCATGATGTGTCATGTGCAGGACATGGAAACAACAGTAGAAGCAGAACGGAAGCAGGTCTGCAAAACTTTTTCATTCTTCTTTTGTACCTTTTTTATTTATTTTTTTTCCATTTATCATCTGGAAGGAAAATCGAGAGCTTGTATGTCCTGCCTAGAGAACAGGTAAAACACTTCACAACTATTCAAGTGTGATGCAGTATATATTTAAAAACAATCGAACTCGTTAAACTGAATCATACGGAGACTGGTTAGAAAAGATGATCTAGTCCAACTTCCTGCTTGAAGGAAGTATCATCACTAACAGATTGAGTCGGTGGTGGATTTGTCTAGCAGAATCCAAGGTCTGATATGTCATAACCTCTTTAGGTAACTTTTTTCCAGTGCTTCGGTATTGTTCCAGTTAAAAAGACTTCCTAGTGCTCAATCTGAATCTCACAAACCTTAAATTTGAGGCCTTTGCCTTTTGTTATATTATCTGGCACTATGGAGAAGGGTTTGATTTTGTTATCTTTGTAACTACCCTGCTGCAATTCGATCCTGCTTTAACCTCTTCTTCACCAGATTAAATAGGCCCAGATCACTCAGCCTCTTCTCATAGTTCACATTTTCTAGACCTCAACCATACCCCTCTGTAGTTCGCTGTACGTTTTTTCCATCTTAAACCAAGGCTCCTGAACCAGAGTTCACAGGTTTTCCCTGCTGACCTGCACAAGATTTCTGTTGAGTTTTTGAAGATCCAGATATATCAAGGTTTTTCTGAGTCAAAGCTCTGCTGTTCAGCATGTCAGCTGCTTATCCTCTGCATTCTCTAGTATCCTCTGCAAATGTGCCAAGGATATGTTCTGTCTTCTCATGAATGAAGTAGGTTAAAAGTTTTGAAAATAACTGACAAAGTGAGGAAATATGAACAGTTTGTAGAGGAATATGAAAACAGGAAGATTATGTATGTATCTGTAGTTTTATGGATATTAGTTCTACCAATAAGAGGAAAGATAGTGACTATTTTATTTTTCTATGTGTAGGTTGACTCATTCTTCTAATAGCAGAAAAATAAATCTTCTCTAAAAGATACGAATTATACAAAGTTTAACGTTCCTTTGCTACTCTAATAATGTTCTTAAGAGTAATTGCAAATGATGCTGCATGTTGCATTTGTATTATGTAGCTTTTTTTTGAGGATGAGAGAAGAAATAGTGCAGAAATACATCAAATAAATATTAAAACAATCCCACGTACACATATGCACACACACAAACAAGCTACAGGCAGCCACTCTATCACTTCCAAAATCATAGCAACAGTAAGGACAAATAACAAAGCAAATAGCAAAGTATCAGAACTTGAATAATGAGTCCTTTTTGTCTTTTTGATGACCATCAAGGTGTGTCTGTTTTTTTCAAAGTTTTCAACTTTTGAAAATTGTACTAGAAATTACTAAATTACTTAGATACAAGGTTGTATTAGAAATTACTACATTTTTCTTTCCTAAATCCCTTTCATCCTTTTCCTGTTCTTTTACAACGGAAATGGAAAAATATGGATGCCGTGTTGAACTTATGAGAAGCAAATGCTCACTTTAATTCATCTATCAGTTTCTGATGGCTATAGCTAACCCAATGATCTATTTATAATTAGTGTAAAAACAAAATTTTGCAGAAAACAGAGCATGAGCCAGACTTGTAGAGTGCCTTCCATGTTCTATTCACCTTCCTCTTTTATAGCTTGATCTTTTGTGTAATCTTGAATAATGCAAACTCATTTGTTTGATTCCATCTGTCTTGTAAAGGTGATTATGAGAACACAAACACATAGGAAAACTTAAATTATTTGCCATGAAAGAGTCTTCTGCATAAAATTTAGTCAGGGCAATGTGAAAGAGAATAGAAGCGGATCAGGCTGTTTATTTTCCAGTTGGATCAGTGTTTCAGGCTCTGTAATTTGCTTAGATTTGCCTCACTGATTTCTGCATCTTGAAGAATAATGCGTGATATCGTTGAAGGTGCAGCTATTGCAGCAGGACTGCCAGGAGTTGCATAAAGATGTCCAGCTAGCCCGAGAGAGGCTGCAGGAAGAGGAGGGGAAAACCGAGCAACTGGAGCAGCAGTGCACACAACTGAAGGCTGAGCTGGGTATGACAATGAGTTCTTGACACGTCTTCGTAACCCGTCTTTCCCTGCTTCCACACTGAGTGGGTACAAGCAGATCACTAGAGTTACTGTGGTCCTGCAGACTTGCAGTAGCTGTATCGGTTTACTGGAATAATAGGCAGCTCGGGAGGTGCTGAAATTTTAAAGGCTTCTCTTACTTTAAAAATAAAGTTTCTGAAGACTCTTTGTAATTAGATGAACCTGACTGCAGTAGCATTCGGGGTAACAAATGCACAAAAAGCAGTTGTAACACAGGATCCCTGAACTGATGTGGAAGTGAAGTGCTCATTACTATTGAGTCTTCCAAAATAATTTTAAAAAAAAGGCTCTAGTAAACATCTCATATATGAACAACAATATATGAACATATGTATGCTGGATAAGCTTGTAGCTGATCTGATTTAGATTCCCAGTCTATTCATGTGAAAGTTGCTGCTTATGAG